GGGCATCCAGCCTTCATGAGGTCAAGGTTCTCTTCTTCCACCTATGCCCAGCAGGGCCCTCCACTTTTACATATTCAGCTGAAGCCCTGGATCCCCCCCCTAAGTACTCCCAGGCTGGTGGTTTAGACCCTGGGAGCTGTGGTTGGTTGGTATTGTTGCTCTCCTCATGGTGCCATAAATCCTTTCAGCTCCTTCAATTTTCACTCTAACTCCTCTATTGTGAACCCCATGAAGTTTCTTACAAATTATCTGGCTGCATTCAGGAGGGCTATCTCTGGAACACAGCTTCTTGGTGCTCTCATAAAATACTTCCAATATATTATACATCAACTGTGACAGTTTCTAAGTCACTGGCAATTTCTTACCTCAAACTAACCTGATTCAGCTATCCAAGTAAACTCTAATATTCTGGATTCTAAAGCCATAGCAACTTGCCCTAAACTTCCAAGTTCTATCAGTTGCTGGTTCTGGAACAGGGCACCTAGTTCAATGGCATTTATCCCAGCAACCTAGTCTCAATGGTTTGCTCACTGCCTAAGTATTGCTGTAATGGAACATGATCTGTAGACTGACCTTGAACCAAGAGATCTGCTTGTCTCACACACTTGATTTGTGCACCACCAAGTTTGGAACTAATCTTTTCTTTACCCTTACCAAATAAAGAAAACTATTCTTTTGTTTCTTTCTTCTAGGTTGGCCTTGAACTCAAAAAAAACCCTGCCTCTCTCTCTCTTGGGATTTAAGATTGATACTCTCATGGATAAACACAAAGCTTTTCAGAGCCAGTATTCTCAAGATCTCTATCCAAAGTTACTGTCATACCATGGCATGATTTGGACCAAAACCCTCTGTTTTCTAGCCCATGATCTGGATCTGTGATTTTTCTCCCATTTATCGATTTTAGTTCACAACATATGTATTCATGTTGACAACTGACTGCAGCCATCTCCGTCCATCTCTTGGCAATTTGAATCAGAATCATATCTTTTTTTGTCCAAATGAAAAAAAAATAACTGCAGCATTAAAAGGCCTACATAATATAAACCATGCCTTTATCACCTGAAAATCTACAAGGAGAATCCCTGGCTGGGGAGGATATTCCCCTCTGGTCAATTCTCAGTTACTTCCATTTAGTATCTGTGGTTACATGATTTAACTCCATTCTACTTCCTGATACCCTGTTGTAAACACTATATTTGAACCCCTCTATTTCGGACGTTCTGTTTCCCATTTTACTCTACTTCTTCAAATGTTTCCCATGAGAGTGAAGAACAGAACAATGTCTAATTTAGGTCTCTTTGAGGCTCCCTTTATTAATTGTATTAATTTACATCTCTTTAAATTACCCTCCAGAATACTCTGAATACAAGCCCACAAAGAAGCCCCATTCTTCACCAAAATAACAAAGATATTTTCTAAGTCTCACATTAATACTCCTCTCATATGAAATCTACTGTGCTAAGAACCCTTATTTAAAATCACTCTTAGCACCACTCTCTACCCTGCTGCTAATACTTCAGCATATTAAGCTCCATTTAAAGCATCCAAACAGCCAGAATCGAATTTGCAACAAAAACAACAACATGGACAGACCTATCACAATGATAATCCAGTCTCTGGTACCCACTTCCATGTTAGTTAAGGATTCATCACAGAGAAGAGACCCCATGAGTAAGACAACTCTTATGGAGGATGACAGTCAATTTGGGCTGACTTACAACTTAAAGATTCCTCCCACTAACACGATGGCAGAAATTTGGACACCATTCAGGATGACATAGTGCAAAAGGTGCCAGGAAAGGCAGGTTATTCTCTTCCACAGGCAGCCAGGAGGATGGTTTTAACCAAGCTGTCCTGACCTGAGATTTTCAAGAATCCTCCATTGTGACACACTTCCTATGACAAAGCGAGAACATCCTCAGTAAGGCCACATATCTGATTAGTGCTAAATTCATGTAGGCTAAGCATACTGAAACAATCAAAACCATTTTCTGGCACCTATTTGCCTTGCAGGAGAAGAAAAGTGTCTATGGGGGCTATAGCAAGCCAAAGGACATTAGAAACTATCCAATGCCAAAATACCCATAGTCTAGTCCAGACTAAACAAAGCTCAGAATCCTAAATGTCCTTTTCTCTTCCTGAACTTCTAAAATACATTCCAGCATCAAATGAAAGCTTAACATCCGATCACATATGTACAACATCATAGGGTATATATAAACATTTCACAACTTCACAGTGATGATACTCCTTGAAATGAAGCCAAAAATCCAACTGCAAAAATTTCCATTCCTGCATTGACTTTATTGATGTCCAAACTTTTCAGGTTTGCAAACTATAATCCACTTGTGTGTATAAAAGTAACTGTCACCTTTGTCTTGTGCTGGTTCGAATCACTGATCGCTACTTTCCTCAACAGGCATCCCACAGGGTTCACTGAGGATCATCTGGCCTCTTACAATAAGAGGTTAGGTTTCATCTTTCATCTCTAGTTTCTGTGAGACCATAAGCTCCTGCCAATAGTACTCCACTGTTGCTGCTCTTCCTTGTGGTCACCCATTTTACTGGACTCTCAAATACACCCAGTTCTTCTGCTTCCACCAGGCAGCACTTTCACAATGAGCCTCTCCTAGGCAGTCTTCAAGATACCAATCAAAAAATTCATTGTATAGCCCCATTCAATCCTTGGACTTCCACAGACACTGAAGCAGCAATTTTCCCAATGGCCTTACCTAGCCACTCACAGGACGAAGCCTCAACTGCTCTTCAGGATCCCTTCATTCCTTCAGTACCACCTGGAAGAATCTTACAAATTATCTGGCTGCCTGCAGGAAGGCTATCTCTGGAACACAGCTTCTTGGTGCTATCATAAAATACTTCCAATATATTATACATCAACGGTGACAGTTTCTAAGTCACTGGCAATTTCTTACCTCAAACTAACTTGATTCAGCTATCCAAGTAAACTCTACTATTCTGGATTCTAAAGCCATAGCAACATGTTCAAAACTTTCAAGTTCTATTAGTTGCTGTTGCTGGAACATGGCTCCTAGTTCAATGGCATTTATCCCCGCAACCTAGTCTCAAAGGTTTGCTCACTGCCTAATTGTTGCTGTCATGGAACATGATCTGTAGACTCACCTTGAACCCAGAGATCTGCTTGTCTTACACACTTGATTTGTGCATCACCGTGCTTGGAACTAATTTTTCTTTACCTTTACCAAATAAAGAAAACTATTCTTTGCTTTCTTTGTTCTAGGTTAGCCTTGAACTCAGAAATTTCCATGCCTCTCTCTCTTAGGACTAAAGATATATACTATCATGAATAAACACAAAGCTTTTCAGAGCCAGTATTCTCTAGACGTCTTTCCAAAGTTACTGTAATACCATGGCATGATTTGGACCAAAACCCTCTGTTTTCTAGCCCATGATCTGTATCTCTGATTTTTCTCCCATTTATGGATTTTAGGTCACAACATATGTAGTCATGTTGACAACTGTCAGCAGCCATCCCTTTCTATCTCTTGGCCATTTGAATCAGAATCATATCTTCTTTTGTCCAAAAAAAAATAATAACTGCAGCCTTAAAAGGCCTGTATAATATAAACCATCACTTTCTCAACTGAAAATCTACAAAGAGAATCCCTAGCTAAAGAGGATATTTCCCCCTGGTCAATTCTCAGTTCCTTCCATTTAGTATCTTTGGATACATGATTTAACACCATTCTACTTCCTGATACCCTGTTGTGAACAATCTATTTGAACCCCTCGATTTTGAGCTTTTGGTTTCCCATTTTACTCTACTTTTTGAAATGTATCCCATAAGAGTGAACAACAGAACAAAGTCTAATCTAGGTCTCTCTGAGGCTCCCTTTATTAATGGTATTAATTTACATGTATTTAAATTACCCTCCAGAAAACTCTGAAGACAAGCGCACATGGAAGCCCCATTCTTCATCAAAATAACAAAAGATATTTTCTAAGCTTCACATTAATACTTCTCTCGTATGAAATCTAATGTGCTAAGACCCCTCATTTAAAATCGCTCTTAGCACCACTCTCTGCCTTGCTGCTAATACTTCAGCATATTAAGCTCCATTTAAAGCATCCAAACAGCCAGAATCGAATTTCCAACAAAAACAACAACATGGACAGACTTATCACAATGATAACCCAGTCTCTGGTACCCACTTCTATGTTAGTTAAGGATTCAGCACAGTGAAGAGACCCCATGAGTAAGACAACTCTTATGGAGGATGACAGTCAATTTGGGCTGACTTACAACCTAAAGATTCCTTCTATTAACACAATGGCAGGAATTCAGACACCATTCAGGATGACATAGTACTAAAGGTGCCAGGGAAAGCAGGTTATTCTCATCCACAGGCTGCCAGGAGGATGTTTTTAACCATGCTGGCCACTCTGAGGAGTGACTCCTGCAGTTGGGGTGGTCCTTCAGGGCCATGGGACCAGCCTGGGCTCCAGCATTTGCTTTACTCACCTTGCTAAGTAATGTGGCCCTACTTCTGGCCCCACACCTGCAGCGTAGGGAGCCAGATGACAGGTAGCTGAGGGTAGGGACAATGTAGGCCCTTGCCAAGTGTGCAGAGGCTACTCTGCCAGTCCCTGTTTCCCCTTGGCACCAGTCTGTGGGTTCCTTTGTCCCTTGGTGATGAGGAACGTCAGGAGTCAGTGTGTTTGTGCTGGTGATCATGGTGAAAGTGTGCTCATAGTGATGCTAGACTTCTGGCCAGGTGGGTCTCTAGACATCCAGCAGCTCATGATCACACCTGGTGTGCAGTGAGGGCAGGATTTCTAGGATTTCTGTGTCTACAGCAGTAAGGACACTGCAGGTGTCACTCACTACAGTTCCTTGCCTGGTGCTGGCTCCAGAGACAGGCTTGCCTTCAAGAGGAGCTGGAGCTGCTGGAAACAGCTAGCTAGTCCGTAAAGGGCTGACCAGGTCCTAGCGCAGCCTCATACCCTGCCCACCCCCACAGGAGTGTGCTAGGGAGCCGCTCTTCATGCTGTACTGTGCCATCAAGCAGCAGATGGAGAAGGGCCCTATTGACGCCATCACAGGGGAGGCCCGCTACTCTCTGAGCGAGGACAAGCTCATCCGGCAGCAGATTGACTACAAGACCCTGGTGAGCCCCCAGTCCCGGGTCCTCCCCTTCCAGTGAACTGAACTGAGTGAGCAGGACTTGCAGAAGTGAGGGTTGTGACTGATGCTACGATACCACTCTCCTCACACACAGACCCTGAACTATGTGAACCCTGAACATGAGAATGCGCCCGAGGTTCCTGTGAAAGGACTGAACTGTGACACCGTGACCCAGGTCAAGGAGAAGCTACTGGATGCTGTGTACAAGGGTGTGCCTTACTCACAGCAGCCTAAGGCTGGGGACATGGACTTGGGTGAGTGGTGGGCAAGTGTCCCTGTGGTGCTGTTCAGAGGTCAGACCCCTTGTTCTGATGGTAGGAAGGTATTCAACAAAGACTTCAGGGGAGGTGACAGGGTAAGCTAGGGTCTATAGGCCAGAGTAGAGTGATGGAGGAGACCTATGGAGAAGAGGCAGGGTGTGGGTTTGATAGTCTCTGGGAAGCCAGGGTTGTCAGGGCTGAAGGAACAGAACTTTGCACTGGGCAAAGTCAAAAGATATGGGACACAGTTCTGGGATCCTGCAGGAGATTTCGCTGGAATAGCTGAGACTGGGTAGAGCAGGGCCTACCTCTTGGGTGCATCAAGGCACCAGATGAGAGGCCACCTCTGAGCCTGAGAATGTAGCTATTCAGTGGAGGAGCCTCAGCTTCTGGCTGTATCCCAGGTTCTTCCTCAAATGCAGAGCAAGCCCCTCCCTGCCTTCCTGTCTTCCCCCACTCCCTTGTAATATGTGCCAGTAGAATGAGGAGCTTGGATAGAAGGGAGGGAGGGAGAAAATGACGGAGGAAGGGGGGGGTCCCACCTCTAATACCCTACTTCCTGTAGAGTGGCGCCAGGGCCGCATGGCACGCATCATCCTTCAGGATGAGGATGTCACCACCAAAATTGACAACGACTGGAAGAGGCTGAACACACTGGCTCACTATTAGGTGACCCTACCATCCAGGGACCTCTGTGTGGGCTTTTTCCCCTTAAACTAGAACATGCCTAGTCAGGTGTGGATTGTACCCTACCCAAGTGATTATCTGCCCTGGAACCATTCCAGTGGAGATTCAGAGTGGTGGCATGACTTGCCTCCAGGAGGTCTTTAGATCCACCCCCCTCCCCCAGATTGTGCAGGACATCTTAGTGGCATCCTGGGACTTGTATCCTTAATATCTGCCCACAGGTGACGGATGGGTCATCGGTGGCACTAGTACCCAAGCAGACGTCTGCCTACAACATCTCCAACTCCTCCACCTTCACTAAGTCCCTCAGCAGATATGGTGAGGGACCTGCAGGGTTGCCAGCAGGTGGTGGGTGGGCAGTGGACCTGGATGGGATGCCATTCCTACTGCTCTGCCAGTGTGTTGGATGCCAAGACTAAGGGGGACATGTGGCTCTTGGCCTTCCCTTTGGTTCTGAAGCAATGCCTGTCCCCATAGCCGATAAACAAGGGACCTCATGCTGCTCATGTGACAACAGTGGCCATCCCCAACATACCTAGCAGGAGCCTTGGTGCCCTCTGAAGGAAAACTGGCTGGGGTAGGGCAGGGTCTGGCCATGGGTGAAGGACACAGCCCTGCCAGCTAACAGGCTATTCCTGCAGAGAGCATGCTGCGTACAGCCAGTAGCCCCGACAGCCTACGCTCACGAACACCCATGATCACGCCAGACCTGGAAAGTGGAACAAAACTGTGGCACCTGGTGAAGAACCACGACCACCTGGACCAACGTGAAGGCGACCGTGGCAGCAAGATGGTCTCTGAGATCTACCTGACAAGGCTGCTGGCTACCAAGGTAGGTGTATGGGAAGATGCCCAGAATGCATGGCCAAGTCCAGAGTTCCTACAGACCTGTCCAGGAGGTTGATGCCTTGGGCAGCCCTCAAGCTCACTACTTGCCCTGCAGGGAACACTACAAAAGTTCGTGGATGACCTGTTTGAGACCATCTTCAGCACAGCACACCGTGGCTCAGCCCTGCCTCTGGCCATCAAGTACATGTTTGACTTCTTAGATGAGCAGGCCGACAAGCACCAGATCCATGACTCAGATGTGCGCCATACCTGGAAGAGCAATTGGTGTGACTAGCATAGGGGTGGGACTGCCAGGGGCCGGGCCTTACAGTGCCAGGATCACCCTGGACATTCCCAGTTTTCAGCCCTGGATCCTGCCACAACCCCACTACTCTAGCCTATAGGAATTCCCTGGGTGAGGGGCTGCCATGTAAGAAACAGAGTTTGGTGGGCCAGAGCCAATTGATAGCATAGAGGAAGTGATATCCAGAGCACAAACCTGTGCTCAGTGCTATGAAATGCTAGCACCTGGGGATAGAGATGGCTCTAAAAGGTCTCTCTCTGAGGTCACATGGTAGTAAATGTGGAGCTGTGTATTGCAAGTGAGAATTCAGGCCACCCAGACCCCAGTGGGCTCACTCCAGTGCTTCCTGTTACTCCTGTGTGCCCAGCCCTGACCTGCCTTCTCCCAGAATAGACCACCTGTTCTTGTGGACCAGCCCTAGGTGCCTGTAACCTAGCCCTGGGCCCCACGGCCCCTTGCTCCTGATCGGGGCTGCTCAGCGTTCTCTGGCTTTGGCTGACATGCACAGTTGTGGGCTTCTGCTGTGTATAACCCTGACCCAGGCTCTACCCCTGTGTGTGGTTTTCCCACCCCATGGCCCACAACTTTAAAGAAGGGCCACTTGGACTGAAGACTGGACAGTTGATCGTCCTCTCCTGCAAGGTTGCCCCAGACCCCGCTCTACATTCCCATCAGGGCATACCTTTCATGTCCACACACCCCGTTAGCTCCTTTCACCCTGAAGTTGTGTTTTAACCTCCAAGTCGAGTTGACCATTAGCTTTCCTAATCTCATGACCCTTGGCCTAGTGTGCTGGATGAGCCTGGCCTCAACCCAGAGCCCTGTACCCTTCCCCTCACCTTCTCAAGATTCTTCTTGGTTTTTACCTGTTGTCTCCTTCCAGGGCTGTAGGAGCCTAAGTCCCAGGTCTATCTGGGCTGCCTGTCAGGGTCCCAGCAAGGGAGGGACTGCTGTGGGACAGCACTGGATAGGAGTAGGACTGCTCTACAGAATCTTCTTGATTGACTCTAGAGCAGCTGCCTCAGCCATGTGGAGTTACCAGGCTTTTGGCATATGCCTGTGGTCACCAATAGCCTCAGTCTCCAGTTTTTGCTAGTTAATGTTTGAAAAGCATGTGTTATAATTGGGTGCTTGGCCCAGGCTGTCTGAGGCCTTGTGGGGCATAGAGGGTGGGTGGGAAGGCATATGTCCTTGGGCTGGAGCTGAGTACAGGAGCAGGATGTAAGCCAGTGCAGGCCTCGATGGCCGTGGACACAAGCTGAACGTGAGGAATGATGACCCGAGAGGCACCAGCTTGTTGGCAGCATGTTCTGTCTGGCCAGTAGGGTGAGGGGTCTGTCCCAGTTGAGCATGTGAACATCCACTCACTCTCTGGGGGACAGAGTCAGGCCTGTGGGATGGTTGGCCACTCTGGTTGCTGTCCAGAAGGGGATGGGATGCAGAACAGCCATCCTGAGCACTCTTGGGCCTGCTTGTCCACAGCCTGCCTCTGCGCTTCTGGGTGAATGTGATTAAGAACCCTCAGTTTGTGTTCGACATCCACAAGAACAGCATAACAGATGCCTGCCTCTCAGTGGTAGCACAGACCTTCATGGACTCCTGCTCTACATCAGAGCACAAGCTGGGCAAAGACTCGCCCTCCAACAAGTTGCTCTATGCCAAGGACATACCCAACTACAAGAGCTGGGTTGAGAGGTGGGTGGCCAGCAGGGGTCCTGCAGACCAGGGCCACAGGCTGGTGGGAGGGTAGGCCCTGTGACCCCACCCATGCTGACCCTGCCACTACTGTCAGGTACTATGCTGACATTGCCAAGATGCCCGCCATCAGTGACCAAGACATGAGCGCCTACCTGGCAGAGCAGTCCCGGCTGCATCTCAGCCAGTTCAACAGCATGAGTGCCCTGCACGAGATCTATTCCTACATCGCCAAGTACAAGGATGAGGTGTGCCCCTCTCCCAGCCCCACCTGCATCTTAGAGCTCACCCAGTACTTGCGTTGCTCCTGTACTTGACAGCCCAGCTGTTCCTGGGGTAGTAAGGAAATTAGAGATTCTGGGCACACACACACTAGGGTCTCCAGTGCAGGTGAGGAGACAGGGTAACTTTTTCTGGGGTGGATAGCTGTGGTCCTGTTATAGAGTTTATTGGGCTGGATGGTATCTATCTCTATGGCTAGGCAAAGGTTGTTCCTTGTCATTTGCCAAGGAGCAGCTTTCCTGAGTCTTCCCTCTGGGATGACTTGACTCTGACTTTGCACTAGAACTTATGGGTACAAATAACCAAGGACTGGATGTGTGTGGGCAGTGTCAAAGCACTGAGTGGACCTGGTGGGCCAAGAGTCATGGAGTCTACATGGCTGAGCTAGGGCCCACCTGGGAACAGGCAGAAGATAAACAGGCCAGGGTGACCTAGGTGTGGAGGCTTTGAGCTTGGCTGTGTCCCTGAGCCAGATGGATTATTATTATTATTATTATAGGTCTAGAGGCAGGGAGACCATGGTCTACTGACTGTGCTGTGCCAGTGAAGTAGATAGCCAGGCAGCCTGTCTGGAGGTGGGAAGCCACAGAGACAGGGCCAAGACCTTGGAGCTATGGGCTCGGAAGGGCTCTGGGATCAAACCAGCCACAGAAGGGTTCACAGGTTGTAGTGATTAAGGACATAGGATGGGACACGGGGCCTGGGCTCCCACATAGACTGGAGGTAGAGGTGTGATACTCAAGATAACCTAAGAGCATAAGAATCCCAGCAACAATAGAGAACATTGACCATCAGAAGGCAGGGGAGCACTGCCATAGCATACTCATAGAAGCCTGAGAAGGGTGAGTGGGAGAGGCCATAGCCAGGAGCCAAAGTCTATTGATGAAGGAGATATGGGTGGAGGTAATGACCTTGGGGGCTCACCTTAGAGTACTGTAGTACCCTGGTTCAGAACTGTTTTCACAGCTAGGACTGGTAGAGTCAGGTCTTGCCTGACTGCTCCCAAAATCCCCAAGGCACACCAATGTCATATGTGGTGGCCTAGCAGCTTTCCTTAGAGCTTCCAGCCCATGTCTGTGGGTAGCTAGTCCTGACTTTGACCCTGTCCCACCCTTCACCCCACCCCTGCAGATTCTGGTGGCTCTGGAAAAAGATGAGCAGGCACGAAGGCAGCGGCTTCGGAGCAAACTGGAGCAGGTGGTGGACACGATGGCCCTGAGCAGCTGAGCCCTGGAAGTGCCCACCCAGCAGGAGGCAGAGCAGGAGAGCACCAGAGGACCCAGGAGACGGCCCTTGGCCCACCTGTACTGAGTGCCAGGTGTGGGGGCTGCAGTTGGGACCTGGCCCTCGCCTTCCTCTCCCTGCCATGCAGGGCCAATTTTTATCGCTGTGGATGTGAGGGTTCCTGCTAAGTCACCTCTGTGCCTAGGGCTTGCTGCCTTGGGGCAAGGATTGCAGTGTGGCTGGTCCTGCCCAGGGATATTTGCTGCTTGGCAAGAGCTGCTGGTGGCTTTCCTGGGAGAGAGGTGGCCTCTGAGGGGCCGAGATAGAAGGCCAGGCTCTCCAGAGGGAGGGCAGCAGGACCAGAGGCTGGACCAGTTCACAGTTCTTGGCTTCTCCAGCTGCTACCAGCAGGCAGAGTCTGAGAGAGAGGTGAGATACCCAAGGCTAGGCCACATAAGTCACAGCCTGGGGCTGTCCCACCAGCCTCTACTCTAGCACCCCGTGCTTGCCACCACCCTCAGATTCACCGCGTGCTCTGCGCGGCCAAGGCTGGAATGCCACATACTTCTGCTGGGGAGAGGCCCCACTCCCCTCCTATGGAGGGCCTGCAGATCCCACTTCCAAGTGACATGCGGACGATAGCTAGGCAAACCCTTCTCTGTCCTCAGGGCTGTGCCTCTGGGAGCCCTTGGTCCTGGGGCTCCAGTCAGAGTGCATGTTCCCATTATTTATTCCCCGCCTCCTGCTCCTGTCGCGGCCCACCACAGAGCTCTGGAGGATAACAGACCACCATCCCACCATCCTCTATCCTCCCCGCCCCGACGCTCCCGGTGGCTTCCAGTCTGGCATCTCAACAGTGTCCTGGCCCCTCTACAGTGGGACATCTGGGTACTGCTTTTAAAGGAACAAGAAATCCTGTGGTATTCTGCCCTGGGAGTGTGGGGGGCATTTCTGCCACCCTGCTGGCCATGGACAGTGACCCAAGGGACCAGAGGTCAGTTGTGTCCACCTCTGCCCTTAAGGAGCAACAGTACATTTTTAATGGACCCTGTACATATATATATATATGTATGTATGTGTATGTATATATATATATATGTGTGTGTGTGTGTGTGTGTGTGTGTGTGGCCCTGGCCCCAATGGGGTGCTGTACAATTATTTGAGGGAGGAGACACGGAAAGGCAATTCAGGAGGAACCCAGGTAGAAGAGAGCAAAACCGAGGGCCCTGGAGCTGCCATCTGATGTGGCCTCTACTTCCCCTAGACAGAAAAAGCCGCTGCCCACGATTCCTGGTGCCCCAAGCTTCGGGTGCAGAGGCTGTGGACCTGCATGACTGTGCTAGCGTTTAGTCTGAGTTGATCTTTTCAAACTGCAAGTGTTGAATACTAGAGGTGGTTAGACTTTTTTTTTTAATGTTTGTTTTTTAATTAGTCATTGGAAAAGCAAGCAAGCGGCCTATTCCCTTTTCAAGTTCACTAACTGTGGCCAGGCCTATCCTCAGTGCTGGGACAGCACACTCCACATCCATGGGATACTAGCTTTGTGGTCCCTCACACTCCAGGCTAGGGTGCCGATGGGACAGGGTAGAGGTCAGAGTAGAGCTGCCCCTTTATTTGCTGTGGGGCAGGTGCAAGGACTCAGGGAACAACTCTGTGGTAGTCATGGGCCTTGGCACCCTGGGCCATGAATTCTGGTCAGACTCCCACCCCATCTCTGGCTCACTCTCTGGGCTGATACTGGGGTCAGAGTCAAGGCTACCCAGCCTGGATATAGCCGTTTCTCAGAAGCCTCTGTTGTTGCCTGGAGTTTTACCCGTGGATATACGCCTCTCTTCCTTCTGATGCCTCCGGGCTGTGCCTGGGTGGGAGCCTCAGTTTCCCCTAAAGTCTTCCCTGGTTGTAGGCTTCAGATGGAAGCCCCCAGTTCTTCCAGCTCAGCCTAGACCACGCACAGCTTCTAGGCTCAATGCCTTTACTATCCAGCCCCACCACCACCCTGCCCAAGGTCCCCAGGCTCCCTCAGAATAGACCAACCTCACTCTGTCCTACCAGGCCACCTTGCCCATGTGGGTGTCGGGTGGGTGGTGAGGTGACCTGGAACAGCTTCCCCCGGGCATTTGTTCACAAGTACTTTAGTGTATCTGTTTACATGTGAACTGCCCTAGCTGTTCTTACCATGCATCTTCTCGGCACAGCCATGGGGCCAAGCCTCACTTCCCTGCCACTTCTGGACTGGGCTCTGACATCTGCTTGCCCTTGGTCTTCAAGAGCCATCCATCTCTGTGGTATCCTGCAAAAGGTTTCAGTCCAGCTTCAATATGGCTTGGGGTTGGACCCCACTGCGCACTGGATGGTAGATGCTCAGAGCCACCCTCTACAGTCCTAGGGCCCAGGGAGGTGGGCAAGCACTACTCCAGCCAGCCTGGCCCTAACACTCTTGGTACTGCCGTCCCGCCATGGGCCCCATCTCCAGAAGCCCTAACTTCCTGCCTGGTCTTTCCCTTTGCACCCAGACTCAGGAGTGCCTGGGCCATTCCAAGCTGGACCTGAGTGCCTGGCCTCCACATACCTTGGGCTGGCCCTGTGCTCTCCAGCTTCCCCATTCTTATGGTTGGACAGCTAAACAGAGCAGCAGGGATGAGGGCCTTGATGTGTCCCCAAAAGACATTGCATTGAGTTCCAGGCACAGGCCAGCAACCTCTGTTGGTACAGAGGGGCCTGACCGCCACCCTCTATTCCAGTTCCCCCAGTTTGGATCTGGTGGCTCACATCGGTGCTACACAAGCTAGAGTAGATATATTTAGAGAGAGAAAGATATTTTTAAGGTGAAGCCCATGATTAGCTGTCCTTTAATGCCGCAGAACACTCCCTCTTACCCTCTTCTCCCCACCCAAAAAAACCTGGTCATTTGGATGGTCTGAGTTAGACCAGGCCTCGGCCGTTGCTTCTCTGGAAGCGGCAGAGCCAATACGCTCAGCCATCAGATGTGTAAATATACGGCTATTTCCTATTTTACGGTTCTTCAGATTTAGTACTTGTAAATAAACACACATTAAGGAGAGATTAAACATTTTTGCTAAAGCTCGTGGCTCTGAGTCTTTTAGTGGGGTGAAAATCCAAGAGGTGAGCATATTAATACCCTATATTCTCAGGGGTGGCAGCAGGCACCTTGGAGCCTCTGCCCTCCAGACTGGGGGATTGGTATGAACACACAAGGACAATGTCCCTAGAAACCTAGTGCAGATCCATGTGTCACATCACAGTTTTATCTAATGCAAACAACAAACAGCATACCCCCTCATCGGAACAGAGAAGGAGCCTCCTCAGTGGTAGTCTGTGTGGCAGACCATGTGCAGTCCTCACTGGGAGCACACCCATCTATAAGGCAAGATGCCTAGTACCTCCCTTCACCATGGCCTTACACTAAGGAGCCTGGTATGGGACAGCCAATGTGCACACTCATCCAGTTTCATGGGTGAAGAGTTCATAGTCTGCTGTTCCGTGAGGTGGCTCACATACCTACCTAGTCTTGCCCTCCAGCTTGGCAGAGTGTCGTGTGGAGTTGGATGCAGTAGCACTGAAGGAGGCAGCTCTCAACGACTGTGGAGGCATACCACCTCCCTAAGAGCATCTTAATACCTAGGATCCATGTCTGAGGACACTGCTGTTGTCTACCCACTGCACAAGGCTGGGGAGTGAGCTTCCCAGTGATGAGGTGATACTGTCCTCAGAGACAACCTGGGGAGCAGAGGTCCTAGGCCCCACTGGCCCCCTGGGCTCTGAAAGCACTCTGGCTGTCTCTGACTCAATCCATTCCTTTCTGGGCTCCGATGGGATTCCATAAGCCACAATCAGTGCTCCTCCATTCCTAGCAGGTCTGTCATGCCAGCCTGCTCAGTATTTAAAGAAAAAAAAAAAAAGGCAACGTAATCACCATAAAATTGCCTGGGAAACAGATTTAGCAAATGTCCCGTTTAGGGTGTGACATGGCCCGTTTCTGTCTCTTGAGCCCTCACAACTTTCTGGCAAAATCAGCTCTGCCTGAATTATCCTCGTTAGACTGCCACAGGCTCCAGCCCTGCCACCTAGGACTGAGGCAACCTCTCAAAGAAGCAATCAGTGCCCTTGCACAGGGTGATCAAGCATGATTAGGGACAAGCAGAGTCTGATTGCCACACAGCTTATAGAAGGCAGCAACTCATCCATACAGCACTGTGGTGGCTCTGAGCATATAGGGCAGCCACAGGAGTCTGGGTGGCTGTGGACCAAGAGGACATTTTACTGCATTTCTTTACTGGGCCCAAGAGCAGCCACGACTCCAGCAGAGGACAAAACAGTAAGCTGGGATGAGAATCATGTCAGAGGTATGAGGAAGATGTCTACTGATAGCCTCAAGTATGTGGAGAAGCCTAGCTGAGGCTCAGAGGGCCAGAGAAGGAGCAAACCAAAGCGAGCCAGGGGCGGGAGAAAGAATGGAGACCTGCCAACCATGTAGTCCCAGAGAAAGGGCCATTTGCAGAGACAGGAGTGACCTAAGCATCAGGGCCAATGTAAAGACCTAGGAGATGCTGTGTGAGGCAGAAGCTAGGACAGACTGTTGCAGAGGAATGAGGAAAGCAGGAAGCTGACTTAGGTTTACTCTTGGTGTTTACAGCTGGTCATCAAAGGCTGATGGGAGGCATCTGCCATAGCACAGCTTCATCCCCTGGGGTGCTGTGTGGCAGACATCTCTGGCAGTGGCTGTTCTAGTCTCTGATTATCTATGAGGTGACTGGCCACATCTAGTTGGACACCTGGGTCTCCTGGAGTGAGGTTCTCAGCAACTGTAGCTTCAAACTTTGTTGAGCCCAGGATATGGTACAGGGCAGCCCTGGTCATGGCCCAGGCTCTAGGATGGTTGTTTCTTCAGTGTGGCCCAGACTAGCAGCAAACAGCCAAGATTGGGTAATTTTAGAGCAGGCCAGGAACAAAGGTGAGATATCTGTGCCAAGGGACCCAGGGCACCTAGGTGGGGCCTGAATTCATTCTTAGACTGTTCTGCCTCCTGAAGCTCTTCTCGGTGCTGAGGTTCTGCAAGAAC